TGTCTCAGCCCCTGTATCCTCCTTTCCTGCTCCTTCCCCAAGTTTGGAGATGTGTGGGCTGGCTCTGCAATTGCTTACGTTGTGATTAATGTCTGCAGAGTTAGTGTCAAGGCTCATCACGAATTCAAAAGCTTTGAGGAAGACAAGAGCTTTTGCTTTCCAGTGGTGTCTTGAAGTCCACCCTCCCCAGCGGAGGAGCCAAAAGCGATGATCTCCACTGCAGCCGCATGCTAAATCATTTAGTGGTTTGGGCTGTGGGAAGGAAGTGTATTGCATATTAAAGAGCTCTTGAAGCACTGAGTCATGATGAGACATAAAGAAAGCAAGCGGCTGCGAGTACCAAAAGTAGTCACAAGCATGAGACACCTCTCAGAGAAGGCACGGGTGGCAAATCCTTTGAATATAGATACTTGGAAATATGCAATCAGAACATGTTGCGTGGTGCTGCTGTGTGTTATGATCTCAGTTGCTGCTGGATGGCTCATTTGGAAAGCCCTAATAAACATTTGGAGTTAGGCACAGCAATGTCACAACAGCAGCAGCATGACCTGCCTAGAGGGGACCAAGCTGGTGCTCTTGAAGCACCTGAGCAGTTCAAGGGTGGTTTAGATAAGCTACCAGTGACCAGCAGTGCAATTGGGCTGTCATGGGACTGAAAGATAAGCCAAAACCTGAGGGWTTTCTCTGGAGACCTGGTACACATACAGACTTCCTATGAATGGATGTCTCCCTCACCAAGAAAACAATGTGAAGGTCCAAATCTTGCAGCTCAGGCCAYCATATGTGTTGTATCTGTTCAAGTGAAGATATATCAAGACTTTGCCTCAAGCAATCTAAATTCTAGCTGGATCTCTGTCACTGTGTTACTTGATGTCTTTTGGGAAATCATTTGGGCTGAAATTGCTTTTTTGTTTATTTTTGTTTCTGTCTTTTTCATTATAGACTTTATTCTCTATTGTCGCTAAGTTAGTGTTCAGCCCTCAGCCACAAGATCCAGTACTGTCCAAACCCCATTGGTTTCCTTCAAGTGAGCACCAGCAGCTGCCACCATGCCAAGCATGGCTTGTTCCCCTTCATTCAAGAAAARAGCAATGAAATGCTCAGAAAGGAAAGCTCTTCAAGCAGAATATGCGTCTCTTGTAGGTTAATAATGACGAGCTACAAAAAGGATRGGCATTGCTCATTGGGGATCACAGAATGATTGATGTTGGAAAGGGCCTCTAGAGATCACCTAGTCCAACCCCACTGCTCCAGCAGGGACACCTAGACCACATTGCACAGAGTCACATCCAGGTGGATTTGGAAGATCTCCAGAGAAGGAGACTCCACAACCTCTCTGGGCAGCCTGTGCCAGGGCTGTCACCCTCACAGCAAAGAAATTCTTCCTCACATACACATGGAATTGCCTGGGTTTCAACTTGCATCCACTGCCCCTTGTCCTGGCACTGACCACCACCAAGAAGAGTTTGGCCCCATCTTCTTTACATTCTCCCCTCAGATACATATACATATTGATCAGATCCCCTCTCAATCTTCTCCAGGCTAATCCCATGGGATCCCACATGGAGGAGCAGGGATGGACAGGCTTGTACTGGGAATGAATTAAGGAACATCATCTGGCTGCTTAGGCTTGTTAGGTGACTGACCATCCCCAGCCTGTGTTCATTCTAAAGCCAAGCCTGCCTACATATGCCATTCCACCTCGTTGAAGCAACTCTTCAGTCTAACACCCAACAAGTTCTGCAGTTGTTGAACAAGTTGCTTGGCACTTACTCAGTACTGTTTTCTGCCCCACAGCTATCTTAGTWAATAAAAGTCAATCAATACAGCAACTATTACATCCCAAGAGAAGTCCCCAGCTTTTAACTATTCTCACGCATGCAGATGGGTAAACTGAGTCCTTAGTCTGAAAAATGACTTGTCCACAAGGCCACTTRGGAAGTCAATGGCCAATGTAGGAACAGGTGGCGCTCCTTTGTGGCCCCCAGTCTCCAGCTCTAATCTACCTTATTATGAACAGAAGACACAATTAAAGAGATGACCAATTATTTTTACTGCACCCTCATGTGCYGTTTGTGATCAGATGGCAGAACACTCATGGCCTAAGAGGGGCACCAAAGTCTTTCCCATGCTGGCGAGAAATAAGCCCTCTGACATTTCACTTGCATTGAACTCGGATGTCTAAGGCCCTCACAAAATCAAAACACTTCATGCAGCGCATTTGAAATGACAAATGGATGCCAGAGCTCACGGTCACAGGCTGTGTGTGCCATCTGCTGATGCTCTACCCTTACTTCAGAGGGGCAGCGAGCTGCCCAGGATGCTGAAGGGAGCCAGGGAAGACAAGGTTGTTCTTYTGTGCCTTGCTCCTGTGAGGAAGCACATGATGGAAAAAAGGGGAAATGAGACATCTCTCCTTTTTTTTTACATAAAAGAATCACACTGGGATATGCTTTGTCCCAAGATCACTCATGTCACAGCTATGGAGGAGGAGGTGGGAGAGGGCTCTGGGACCGCCACCCTGAATAAAGGCTGGGGTTCTGCAGTGAGCTCACATCAGGGGTTACTGGTGACCTAGGACTGATGCTTTTAGAAGTGCAATACCCARTCTTTCTGCAAAACGGAGCCACACGAGGCTCCTCCTTTTTGGAGCCCACCCCACTTCCCATCTGCAACCAGCTCTTGCCACCAAAGYTGCACAAGCACCGTCACCTTCGACTCTTGTGTCTCATTGCTTCAGTATCATTGCAAATGGCCTGGTGGGAGGAAGCAGGCTAGGAAACACACATATGCAGTCCTTCTTTCTTGCATAACTAAGCCAAAAATAGTTTGCTACAGTGATTTTTAATTTGCTGCCTTCAGCGCTTGCAGCAGGTGTTCTTACATCTTTAGGGAAAAAAGGTATGAGCAGTACCTCACTTTTTCACTCTTTCCATACACTTCTTCAGTATCCGTATACTTCTATTTCTCAGTCCTCTGGTGGATGTTGCCCCAAGACACAAAACACAGTATAAAAACGGTGTAAGGCTTAAAGGAATGCACAGGTCGCACTGGCATGTAAACAGCAAACTGGTTTATTGCATTTTCATGTCGTATGACTCCAACATATGCCATCAAAACCATAATCCAAGGTAATATGCTCTCTCAAAGCACAGTACTTTTGGAAAGAATTACGCTCATTAACGTATTTTCATCAGACCTAAATACTGCACAGATCTATCAGAGAAACATTTCCATTCTCATCCCAATTACTGAAAAGTGTATGTAGCAGCAAAGATCAATTCATTTCAAAATGACCATCTCAGCAATGTTTTAAATAGGAAGAAGAAGGCCCTTTTGATATTTATTACTGTGTAGCTGCTTTTAACTTGCATAACAGCTATTTCCACACAGCAAARTGAATAGCTGTGGGCCCAAGTTACAAGTCGGGAAACTGAGGCAAATGGCACAAACTTGACTTTCCCCAAGGCCATGCAGTAAAAACGAACAGCAGAACAGCCCAAAACCCACAACCACAGTGCCCTGCTATAACCACTAAGCAGCACTGCCTTCCTTTAACATAGACAAATGATGGAAAAGACCTAGGGGGTCTTTTTGCAGTTTCTTGCAAAGCGTCGGCTTTTTCTGTGCCATGTGCTCTAGACCAAAGTGCTTTATACAATCACTACATTAAAATAATTCAAGCGGGAGGACAGCTCTCATTCCCTTTGGGGGAAACAATTCTGTAGCTGAATAGAYTGCAGCATTAGGAAATATTTCCTGATGTCCAGCCCCTGCCATAGCTTCTAGAATCTGCTGATATATTATTAATAGAAAGGAAAATAAATATAAGTATTAATGCCAGCAGACGCTGTCTACTACTAATAGCTGCTAAAGTAATATATTCCCCTTGTTTTTAGCTTTTATTAGTCTTTTTGCAAAGAGTTACAAGACCCTTATGTATCCATTAGCCAGTCAGCCATGTGAAATTAATGTGGAGCAATTTTCATAAGCATTACTCAGAACTAATAATAATTAAGCATTATTTTCTGCTCAGATAACACAGAAAATAAAGTCTGACTTTTATGCCAAGATGGGTTTGCATTAGCTTAAGGTAGATGAATTAATTCTCATTTACAAGGCTTCTCCACCAACTAGCCAGAAAGTATCAAGGTAATTAAAACCAATTTGTGAGGTTCTGTCCCATTGCAYGCTCACTGAGTTTTATCATTGCTGCAAATTGCAGGTGCTTTTATGCCGTTGCAAAGGTAGGACGTGAAGGAGACCTTGCTGCATGCCTCCTTCCCCGTGACTTTTAAGGAAAGCTACCTTCTTTTGAGGACCAGGCAGCGTTTTGCAATGCATTTTTGCTGCTGGAGATGGCATTGCATGAACCAGCTCAGTCCCAACCCACGCTTGGTTTCACTGGGAGATGGACATCTCAGAAATACAAGCCTCCCTCATAAAGAAAAATGCTATTTGCTTTTTATTTGCTATTTGTTTGCACAATACTTGTCGCTCTGCACAGAGCACCCAGGGCCTGCCTGGCTGGAGGATAAAGGAAAAAGAGCTCAAATCCAGGTTGTGTCCAGCCCGGAGTAAGCAGCCAAATCCCCCCTGTTTACGTTTCAGAACGGATGTACTCCAAATTTTGGCTAATCACCAAATCAAGGGGCTTTTGTGGATTTTCAAGGTAGTTCTCTCCAGCCAGGCAGATTTTACTTTATCATTTTTAATGAACAAAACCCAGCACTGGCAACCCAGAACAACAAGAGTGACTAGTTACATAACGCTACGCTTTCCAACACCAGGATTACAGCCCTGTCATGGATGGCCAGCACTGGCCTGAACATCTCCTGCCTTGCTCCTAGCATAAGGACACAGTGAAGAATGTGACAAGGAGTCGCACTCCTGCAGCTTAGCATCCCACCTCGACATGTCCTTACCTTGCTCCAGCTGTAAGATATAGATGCTTGACAACACCTGAGCTAATTCACAGCTGGGTGAGCTAAGATATTTCCCAAAATTTCAGCTCCCTAAGGGGAGTAAATCCTTCAGATGCCACGTGCTGACCTTGCACCAGAGCACTCTGCTTAGCATAGGTTTTCCAGAGGCTCTTGGCTGCTCTTTCCTGAGTTCTTGCTCTCATTTGTTTCCTCTGGCCTCTCCATAGCTCCCCATGACATCTCTTATTTTGGTGTCTACATCCACAWCAATACGCTGGAGCAGGCTGACCTGAGACAAAATATATGGCCCAGTGGCAAAAGAAGGATGAGACGATAGTCCTGAGTTTTATTACGTTCTGAAAAAAATCTTCTCTAGAGTAATCTTATTGCTATAAAATAGACAAACCAAAGCAGAGGAGATCCAAGAAACTCCAGCTGCGACTTAGCGCTGGAAGGCACTTGCACGTTACTCGCAGTATTTTCCATGCCTTCCGGGATAAAAGGTTTTGCATCCCTGGATGTCTCCACCTGGATCCAGTCGAGGTAGCTGTAGATATCCGTGTAGATCCCAGGGCTTTGCTTTTCTCCACAGCCGTTTCCCCAGCTGACGAGGCCGATGGCGAACCACCTCATGCTGTTCCTGTGGGTGCAGACCAGAGGTCCCCCGCTGTCCCCCTGCAGCATAAGAAGGACATTATGGTGAGAACAAACCTCAGGTTTCTGAGAGCAGCTTGTACTCCAAAAGTTCAACAGGAAAAATGAACAGCAATGTGAGCTCATCAGGGCTCGGAGCCTCCAAATTTCACAGCTTGGACCTGAGATGCCAACAGTACAAAAGGAAGGAAGGAGAGCCATGGAAAGTGATGGCTCAATGAAAATCATGGTCAGTCACCCCCCTCATCCTCCTGTATATCCTCTTGTGCACCAACAGGTCTCTAATAGTTGATGCATCTACAAAAATTCAATACAAGCACATTCCTCAGGGTACCCTTCCTGGGAAATAYTGTCCTTCCCTCTTTTGTCTTATTTTGAGAAGCACTTTTGCTCCCAATATGMAATCCCACGTTTTTTTTTCCTGCTAGCTCCCCTGAGCTGTTAATGCATATTAATTAATGTAAAGTGAACGGTTATCGTTTGCTGTGCAACTCATCTGCTGCCGTGGAAGTTCATGGCAGGACTCCTACTTGCTTCAGTAGACAGAGAGCCCAGGCCTGTAAGACTTGGCCTTTTTTTTTAATATTGATTTTTTTTTTCTTTTTTTTTTTTTCTGTTATCCTTGTTCAAAGTGAACTCGGGAGGGAAGAGACGATAAGAAATGCAGAGAAACATTGCTTTGAAACGAATATTGGTTTTGCTGAATTATTCTTACTACAGCTCCGTGTCTGCATCTCAGCTGCTTGTGCTGGCCACTTTACAAACACAGGATCTAAAGGCATTTACTGGCTCTCCCCTGGCCAAAATCCACRGGGATGGCACAAGTGACCTTGCAGTGACCTTGGACCCGTGTATTATCCGTGCYCTTGGCTGTGGCATCCTGCTTGGATGAATGGCCATCTTCTAGGCTGTGCAGACAATTAAATTACTGGGAATTTTACTGCTAATTCCCCCAGGGCAGGAGCAGGCCAAGCGCATTACGCTGCTAGTGAAAGGAAGACGCTTCAAGTCTCCTGCAGAGAGAAAATAAATGAAAGCCGGAGCGTGGGAGCCGCTCCTGAGCCAGGCACACTGCAAGGGCTGACGGCCCTCACCACGGATATCTCGGGGTGCATCACGCTGGCCGGTCGCTGCGCCCCAGATGTGGATGTTGGCAGGTCCCTGCAGGATGAAAACCTTCCCGGCGGGGGATTTGCTGCCTGTTCTGGCGGCTGTTGGCATTTCTGCAGGTCCCTTCTCCCAGGAAACTTGGATAAATTCATACCCCCTAATGCCCTATACCTCGTGGCTCTGCTTGGGGGCAAAACCTATTCTATAGCTGAGAGATGTAAGGAAGAGAAGGGATGTGGTTTTTGCAAAGTAGCAGCCAGAGCCAGAAGCCAGCGCCAGGAATCCGTATTCCAGGCTCTAGATCACACAATTTTCCTTTTCAATCAGCTCTGCTTTTCCCCGTTTGCCTCTTTAGCCGTGTTTGTTTTGTGCTCTGCCCGGTCTGTCGGGCTGCCTGGAGTCAGCGAGGGTTTCGGTGAGGAAAAAGAGCTGTGTGCAGGGCCCGGGGAGCGGTCAGCTGCAGAAAGCGATTCAAAGCCTGCAGGGAAAGGCAGCCCGGCAGCGCTGGGAACACCCAGGCAGCAGCTGCAAGCCCATTCCGCTAATCTGCAAGCCCTGGGAACCAAATTCTGCGTCAGATCCCTTTCCATGCAGGATAAGAAGGTCCCCTGCATGGAGGCGAAAGAACTTGGACAGATAACGCAGCATTTCCCTTGACTATATATATATATAGTCAAGGGACTATATATATATCTATATATATATCTATATATAGTCCCTTGACTATAGATATAGATATATATAGAGATATATATATATCTATCCCAGGTATCTCCCCTATATATGATTATATGCTCCCTATATATTGGGATAAACCACCCTATGCATGTGATAATCTTATATAATATCAGTATCCAAGATGAATCATAGCTTGATTTTTACAGGACTAAAAATAGGAAAAAACGCCCAGTACTTGGACATCATTGAAAATCCCTGCATCCCCTTTAAGCTTTTAAAAATGTTGGCCCAAGACTTTCCATCCTTGTGTAAGAGAGGATGTGAGAATAACAAGGTTTCTGAGCTGCTGCAATTATCTCAGCTCTGTGATGTCTCCAGCGCGGCTAATTTAATGAACGTTCAGGTTAACGACTCTGAAGATTGAATAACTTATTAAACGTTGCTTTCAGACTCCTGTATCCTGGTAGTGAAATGCTTCTGGTCAGCAAAATGCACCAGATATCTGCTACTGCTCTGTCCAAGTTTCTGGGCAGCAAAAAGAAAGTAAAAAATCTCATCTTTGCTTCTGTTGCATGTTTCTTGTCAGTGTGATGGTGAATAGAAATCAAATGCATCAAATTGGATGTGGAATGGAACTCATGCTTTCCACAACTGCATGTTAATCCCCCCATCAGGAGAGCTGAGGGTGATGCTGCTTAATAGTTAAACCTGTCGGAGCCTATCAAGCCACGTTCTCACTCAAGCTGATCAGAAGCTCCATTGGTTTTGCTGCATTCAAAGTCTTTTCACAAGCATTAGGAGCCTTTCCACTGACTTCAGTGGACTCTGGGTGAAGAGCGTAATCTTCTCCCTTTGCATTTGCGTTCAGGTCTGCAACACGGTCATTGCTCACAACACATAAATTCTTAAAACACTTAAATATGTTCGGCCACATCAATCTTCTTAGGTGGGAGACACCCTGGGGGAGGGASAACAACCCATCTGATGCTCATTAGATGGGTACAACAACCCTTGCAAGTCATTGCTGGCTTCCTTTTCGTGCTGGTAAAATCTGTGTAAACTGGAAAGAATCAGCATGCGAATAACTACACTTGCCATTAGAGCTGTCCTGGCTGCAGGATGCAAACGGCTTTGCAAACAGATGATTTCTTCAATTATTTCACTACGACCACACCATCTTTAGAAGGTGGCAGGAAAGGGGCTATGGTTATTTTTAGCATGCAGGTACTGAAGATAAAMCAGGTAACACAGAATATTTGCCCCGGACCAAGGACTCCTTTCATGGTGCCTCTGTTGGGTATCTTTAGTAAGAGTCTTCAGCTACTCCCACTTGCTGGAAAATAAATAGGAGAATAAGACTGCCCTAGCCATACAKGTGCCATCAGGGTCCGTTAATAACTATTGTGGCATGACTTAATGACAGTCATAATGGTCTATGTGACCCAGATGTCTGTCTTTGGTAGTCATCTGTAGCAAGTGCTTGGGGAGGCAGAATGAGAAGCAGGACAAGTGTTTACAGGGTTGTATTTACCTCATAGCCTCATCCAGGAAGTTATTTAATTGCTTTTGGAATTCATTTATCCCTTAGGACAAATACCCACAACATCCTGGTCAGTGAATTCCATAGTTTAATGATTTGTTGGTTGAAGAAAAAAAAACACTTTCTTCTCTTTGTTTCAAATCTGCTGCCTGACACTACCATTGGACGCCTTTAACCCATCTGTGGTGACCTGTCACTATTGACTGTCTTCTCCTYACGGTTCTTGGCTTTAGAAATCTCTGTGGTATCTCTGTCAGACATTTTCTTTTCTTTCACAGCTTGAGTCCTGCTCTGTTATTCCCTTTTCAACTTAAAAAACACTCCGTGCCCCTGTTCATCCTTCTTACTCTACACTGTTCCCTTTCTGAAGCTGCCACCTCCTTCCGCTGGTGAGGTGGACTTGGAATTGCACACCCCATGCAAGACATAGGCCTCCAAGATCASTGCCCTGCCACAGCAATGTGTTCTCTTTTGATACCTATTCCTTTCCTAATAATGTTCTTCCTTGGATAATGTGCTTGTTGCCTTTTTGACCTCCACAGAGCTTTGAGCAGATGTTTTTGAAGGACCATTCCAAGATCYTCTTACATGGTAATAGCTAGTCTGGAGTCCGTTATTGTGTGCCTACAGCTGGAGTTGCTTTGCCCTATATTCATTACTTTGCATTTACCAAGAGCAAATTGCATCTGCTGCTTTAACCTCCAGTTATTCAGGATAACGAGAGTCTGCTGCACCTCTTCATGGACATTTTTAACTTGGACCACTCCAAGTAACAGCGTGACATCAGCAAACTTCCCTGTCTCATCATCTGTCCTTGAACAATGCAATTTCTTGCACAATGACTCCCCTTGTGAGACCCTTCCTCTCAAGCCTTTCCTCTGCATTTCCTGCCTTTCAAACAGAAGTCCTTCCACTTCATGACAGTTCAATTTCTCTGCAAGTCTTTGGTGAGAAACCTCGTTAAAAGAATTTTGGAAATCTCAGCACATTACATCAGCTGGATCACCCTCTGCCACATGCTTGTTGACTCCTTCAAAGAATTTGAATACATCTGTGAGTCATGACTTTCCCTTAAAACCRTGTTGAGTCACTGTCATTGAACGAGAAGCAGCTCCTGAGTCATCACATCCATTCCCCCACTCCGAGGACAAACGCACAAAAGGCTTTTGTGTTCAGCTGGCTCCAGAGATGTTCTGGTCCCCGCATCCTCGCTCACGGTGCACACAATGTAATTCCGGATCCCCTACGGCAAACCAAAGGACTTCAGTTTTAAGGACCAAAAGCTATAGTTGTAGGGGTCCAGAGGAAGAAAGCAGGAGATATGTGGGACATCATCAATACCCCAGGTCCTTGTGCTAGGCAGGAATGTTCTTGATGAAGAATTAAGACCCCATAGCTTGAACGTGTTCACTTGTCTGCCCATATCATAAAATGATCAAATGATGAAAGCTATATAAATTCACGGGATGGAGGGGAAATACTTAATTTCTTACAAGCTACATATGAAAAGTAACCACCACAGGTAAGTTTATCAGACTGTAAAACCCACAAAGCTTTACTGTGTCTCATTCTGGGGCTTTGCAGGATTCCTTTCTATTTAAACCAGTGTCCTTTATGAAAACTAACTATACAAAAACCAAATTTTAAAAAATGTCCTGCCGTGTTAGCAATTGTGTGGTGACAGAGAATCCAC